AATTGTTTATTAGACTATAAGAAATCCTCTTCCTTCTTGTATTGGCAAGAGGAGTTTGCTTTAACTTAGGTATGCTAGCCTAAGTAAAAATAGACACGGAGCTGCGAAGACCTGATTCTTTTGCTGCATGTTTGAGTCTGCAACTTTGTTGTGATAAGACACTCAATCCTAGTGATTGTACTTACTCAACATAGTGACGGTGTAATTACCATCACAGATTGTACGGGAAATTCCAACTTTGGAAAAAACAAATATTTGGCCTACCCAAATTTTGACTACTACCCGTGCGTCTACGTCCTGGATTGGCCAATCAGTGGTGCCCACGGTGGCGTGATACATGCACGTTTACTGCGGTGCTCTGATTGGCTGACCGAACGTGGCGTGGTAGGTAGGCTGTTTCTACTCTCTAAGTCCTCTTCTTTCCTTTTTTCATCCCCCTCATGCACTCCGTTCTTTGAACGGGAGGCGGGACTTCGCGATACGGTCGATCCGGCAAGGGAACCTGTGATAGTGCAGGGCACCCTTGTCCGAGGGTCACCGGTAAGTGGCAACTTTTTAGATCATTACTATAATTACACAGTGCTGGGTGCAGAGCCCGACATGATAAAGGGGGGCAGAGATCTCGGAAAGAAAGAATTCTATTATGAGGTAGAGATTAGATGTAATCAAGAAGATGACAACTAGCATTAGAATAAAACATAGAGATAAAGGACACTCTATTGGAAGGGGAAAAGTGGCAGAAATCACTTACAACAAACTGCAAGTCCCACTAACTAGAATATTCAGCACCAATGAAGGTTTTAAAGTAATCTGTAAAGATGACTTTGATTCAGATAAAATCCTTTCAAAAGAAGCAAGAGATATATTTTACAATGAAGGCCTTATTGTTGTCATGCCACCAGAACAAAAAGCAAAAAGATCAGTTTTTGTTCGTCAAGTCGATCAAGAGATCAGGAGGAAGACCTGAAAGAAGAACTGGAACGCCAAAATAGGTGGATGAAGATTGAAGAAGTCATTAAGATAAAGGACTATACTCATGTTTGAAGAAGTGTCAATGGCTGAGAAAGTTTTACAACAGGGCTTTCTAATATTCAACATGTCAGTCACACCACATCAAATAAAGAAGGAGACATTCATCAGTCTGCAAACTTGCTTCTCATGCTACAAATATGAAGAA